ATTGAAACTGTGCTGGTGTTTGTGAATCTTAATGGCTTCCTGGTATAGCCTGGTATAGTGGCTGGTGGGGTTGTCCAGTATCTCTGTGTTTTCAAATAGGATTTTGTGTCCAGTGTGCTTGAGAGCATGTTCAGCTACTGCAGATTTTTCTGGTTGCTGTAGTCTGCAGTGTCTTTCGTGTTCTTTTATCCTGGTATGGATGCTGCGTTTTGTGGTCCCGATGTATACTTGCCCACAACTGCATGGTATGCGGTATACTCCTGCAGCGGTGAGGGGATCCCTTTTGTCTTTCACCCTGGGCACAGAGAGAACTGCTCCTGTCTGTGCTCCTGCACTCTAAAGATGCCATTCACAAGTGCTGGAGAAACGTTAGGAAACAAAACTTCCAAAACGCGGCCACACAGCCCAGAAGACCCACACCAGCCATTGTATTCCGGCCCTGAAAGCCTTCAACAATAGGACACTTGGCTACTGGATTTTCACACCTGATAAGGATGTTTGGGTTGGGATTGCAGGTAGGTTATAGTTTCTTTTTGGAGAAAATGTTTCTCTTTTTTATTCATCCATCAGTTACTACCTTCCCAATTTCATAGGAAGTTAAGAAGCAAAATAGCCTTCTCAGCTGCCAGTCTGCTGAACAACTGCAAGAAATTTCTCATCTAAAAGAGGAACTCTGTAGCACTAAACTCTTCCTACAGCAGAGTCAGCATATTGCTGAAGACCTGAAAAGTAAGTCATGGGGTTTCTGTTGTGCTTAATAACAGACTTTATTTCAATACAAGATCCCAGTGTGTGGCACACACTTGGTAAAATCTCATTTGAATGCTATGGTGCACCATTGTGGTTTAAAAAACCAGACCATTAGAATTTGCATTATGTTCTGCAGTGGAAACCTTACCAGCCATAGTCAGAAAGCCAAGAGTTCACAACTGATATCAGAAATACTTATGCTTATTCTCCCTTCTTTAATTATGTATCAATCATGTCATTTTCCCTTTCAGTTTCAAAACCTCATCTAAGGAAAACTATTTGAACCTTTTCTTCTAGACAAAACAAACCATAGTTCTATCCAAATTTCATAAGTGTATGATTGCTTATATGATTTGTCTATTTCTTTCTAACTGCTAGGCATAACGTGACATTTATTTTTTTATTTTATTTATTTATTGTGTTTATGAACTGCCAGATTCTACAAAAATGACTCCTGGTCGTTTACAAATTAGAAACAGACAAACACAAGCATTAAGCAGTAAATGTAATGGTTACCATTCATTCTCCAAAGACCTAGAACAACTGTGTCTTGGACAGTCTCCAGTAGGCCAACAAGGAAGGTACAAATCTAATCTCATGGGGGCTGCAACAGAATAACACTACTTGTGAGTGTCAGCCCCCTTCACCTTCCCTATGTAGGGGAGCATTAAAAGATGTTGGAGGAAGGTCCAAATTGGATGAGTTGGGAAGAATACTCTTATGTGGAGAAGAGACCTGTTAAGTACTTTGACATAAACTGTTTTACCTCAGAATCTAGTTCATTTTCATGGCTTCATTTTAAAGGTAACTGGAATATTCAACAAATTGTTTTACATGTTATGCCTTTGATATTTCAAAACATAGTGTGGAAAACCTGAAGCCACTCTACACACCTGGTCCTCCTTCTCATGGGCAAGATTTAATAAGTATCTTCCTTCAATCAATCAACAGTTTGACGCTGTATCCAGATGACGTTTGTAAACCATAATTTTTCCTGCTATGCAATCTAAGTTGTCTGATTCAGATGAAATGGCAAATTGTAGTTTAATATTTCCCAGGAGCATGAAGATAGGAGCAGTTATCACAGGAGCATAGAATTTTTGGAATGTTAAGGCTTCATAGCCAGAATAGGAGCCTGTATTTTGTCAGTTTATATTTTAATCTTTGTAAATTAAGCATTTTATATTTTTATGTCTTTTTAATGGCTCTCCTTGCAGATAAAAATTGTTCACTGGAAAAAGAATTAAAATTGCTTCAAGAAAAACTGAACAAGCAAGATAATTCTGTTGCTTTGGAAAAGATGAGACTTGCTGTTTCTGATGTTGAACATGAACGAGATTCTCTCCAGCAAATTCTGAAGCACAAAGAAAATATAATTGAAGAGCTCAATATGAAACTGAAAAACATGGAAACTCTGCAGAAAACTAGTGTGGAATGTGAAGGCCTTAAAAAAGAGATTGTGATTCTTTCCCAGTGGAAAACAAAAAGCAAACAACTCTTGAATGAGCTAGATTTAGAAAAAGAAGAATTAATGAGCAAAATGCGCAGTTTGGAAAGTGCTTTAATGGCTGAACAACTTAAACATCATGAGAAGGGAACTGCTGTCAAAGATGAACATGAACAATTTAGTGAACAGCTGAACATTTTTGAGCAGGTGGTGAAAGAAAAAACAACCGAACTAGAGGCACAAAGAAAAGCCTATAGTGACCTCCAGCAAAAAACAGCAATGTCTGAGGAAAAACTTCAGAAAGAGAGAGAAAACAATTCACTGAAATTATCTGAGTTCACCAAAGAGCTGGACATCTTACAGAAAAGGCTCCAGTCTGCAAGAAATGAAGTGTTAGAAAAGGGGAAATGTATTGTCTCCCTTGAAGCATCCTTAGCTTCTCACACACAGTTAAATGCATTCCTTCAGAAACAGGTTGAAGAGCTGGTCCAAACCAGAGATGAAATGGAAAGAAAATTAGCTGAAATAGCAGAGCCAAGACATCAAATCTTTATTCAGGAGTTGGAGCAGCAGATCAGTAAATTACGAGAAGCTGTTTTCCAAAAGGAGACCTTGCTTTCCAAAGCCTTATCAGCTCTTGAAGGAAAAAACAAGGATCTACAAAAGTTGATTGAGGAATCAGATAGGCAACAAGCAGAGATTCAAGATTTAAAAGTGAGCAATGTGCTGCTTAAGGATTTGGTCCAGCAATTAAAAGTTATGAGCTCAAAGGAACCAAATGCATCTACAGAAATATCCTTAGAACAAGGTGAAACAGAAGGACTTCAGGATGAAAGCTCCAAGCTTAAGAATACTATCAATATTTTGAAAGAAGAAATCTTAGACATAAAGCAAGAAAACCAGTATCTTTCCAAAAGTTTCAGAGGAAGGAAGGAAAGTTATTTGGAGCTGTCACAAAGAAAGCAAGAGAAGAGCTTGTTACTGCCAGAAGCTGATGAAGAAGTAGAAAGGAAATGTACATCAGTTGAACCAAAGGAAGATTGTTTAGAAAGTGCTATAAGGAATCAAGCTTGCCATTTGAAGGTACAAAAAGCCAAATGTGATACCCAAGAGAAAGAGTTTATGAACAAATGTGACCAGTTACAGAATAAGCTGATCTCCTTGGAGAAGAAAAAGAGTACTTTGTTTTGGCAACTTGAAAAAAATCACTCAATATCTGAAGAAGCAAAGAGCTTAAGACAGGAGGGGACAGGACAAAATAACAGGCACTCTTCTGTAAACATCTTGGTGCAAAAACTGATCTCAGAAATCAAAGCAAGTGAGCATGCAGTGCTTGAATTTATTTTAGATGGGACAACATTGGAACAGCTGAGGGTATTTATAGAAGAAAGAGAGGATGAAGTTAATAAGTATCAAGTGAAGCTTGAGCTGCTTCAGATGGATCTTGAGGACAGAGAAATTTCTATAGAAAACTATGCTGATCAGGTAAAGAACTTGGAGATGATATTGAGAACTATGGAGATAAAAATGGAAGAAAGTGAAATGAAAAAAGCGAAGTTGCTGCATAAATTGCAAGCACTTAAAGATTTACAAAATTCAGCCTTAAAGATGAAAGAGAGAAGTGGAAATGACCAATCACCAATGTGTTTCAGTGCTGTTATCAAGGACAATTTTAACTTACAGAAAGATGCCAAGTGTTCATCAGTTCCTCATGATCTGATGCCCAGCCAAAATGATTATCTCCAATTAGTATCCTCCCTACACATGACAATGAGCAAGCTAAATGAGTTGGAGAAAATGTGTGAACACCTGCAGAAAGAAGAGTCAACATTAGCATCACAGCTGAAAGACTCACAGTTGGAATGCATCATAAGCACAGATACTATGGCAAAAGAATTAATGGAAAAAATGAATAGGCTGAATGTAGAGACCATTTCTGTTTCTGATAAATTAATAGATAAGAGTGAAATAGAAGCACAACCTGATATGGAAGAAATGCCCTTAATAACTCCAGAAGATTATGAGAGATTTGATTACGAACATTTGAAATTAATTAACAAAGAAATCAAAACAGGGTTGTATGGAATCAAGGAAAAGTTCTTTTCTTTGAAAAATGAATATGAAATTGTAGATATTCAAAACCTGAATATGGCCTTTGAATTGTCAGAGTTGCAATCCTGCAGTGAGATGCTTAAAGAAAAAAATACTGCATTGCCAATACATCTCAACAAAGCGGAGATGGTTTCTTTTCCAATACAGATGACACTAAGTTCAGTTAATAAGGAATTTGAAGCATATGGAAAATTTTGTATAGAGACTCTGTGTTGCAGTGAAGTCTTCCCCTGTACAAGCCCAATGCTTTTGGAGCCTGATTTGGACAATGATGTATCATCAACTGAAATGGGAGGACCATATCAAAACAAACAAATTGGTCTGGAAGATACACCTGAACAATTTAATATTGCTGGTGAGTTATATAGCAATGATGCCTGGACCTCTCTCACTAAACAGGTAGCTAGAAGACATCTTAAAAATGAAGTCAAACATTTTCAATGTGAATGTTGTGAAAACTCCTTTAAGATGCTTAAGGAATCATTTAGATCTCATAAGATTCTGGAAGGTGAGGAAATAGAAAAGATTCAAGAGCTGCTCCTTTCTGCAAAGAAGGAACTAGATGGCCTTCAGAAACAAAGTATATCTGACAATGAGCACTGGCAACAAAAACTTCAGAAGGTGATCCTGCAAGTGGCATCTGAACTGCCAGCTGAGAAGAAACTTCCTCAGCTGTTCCCTCAGAAACAAGGAGAACTACAAAACCTTGATTTAAGTTCTCATCCAATAATTTGTGCTGACACTGACCAAGTAAGTTTGCCTAATGTGACTGACTCTCTTTAAGCATATTCAAGGAAGTAACCCTATCCTGGGTTTCCTTATTTTGCAGCGCAATGGGGGTTAGTTTGTTTGGTGATTGAGAGGTTGCTAGTCAAGACCCTTAAGAAGCTTTAACATAGCCCTTTCCCAAAACACAAACATGGAATTCATTGCACTTTGATTTGCTTTGGGGTCAGACATTTTAACAGCACTGAAAACTGATAACCCTGTGATCAGAAGTAGTTGGAATTAAAGTACAGATTTGTTTTTATATCTGAATTCTAAAAGAGCAGCTACTCATTAACTTATTAGTCTGAGTTTGTGCCAATTAAATTAAATCCTTCTCTGGCTCCAGCCAATTTTTTATTGTACAATCAGACACAAAATAAGCCATTTTTGACAGCAAGAAAGCAGCCTTGTTACTCTTTCTGTTCCGTGTGCCAAGATAATAAATATTAGTCCTTGTGGTGTAGGTTCTTTCAAGTCTTAGCAACACCTGTAGAACACTAGATTGGGGAAGGCTGCCATAATGCATAATTTTAAGGCCGATTCTGGCTTTACAGAATTACACATATTTATATGAAAAGCAGCTCACAAAATGAGCCTACTTGGTAGTTAATGTCAGATAAAAGTACAGAGGATAGAACAGACACTTTGGAAGCACATTCACAATCCTGACTCAGGAGAAAATCAATATGCCTAAGCAATGAATAGGAACAACAATATTAGAACAGTAAATGTTTTCTTCATATCTTGGAACATGCCATTGTGATAACTATTCTGTTAGGGGGAAAAAACAATTTTTTCGCTTCCTCGATGATGTTTTTCTTCCAGTTTAAATACTTAACTACATTTATTTCTACAATCTTGTATTCGGTATCTTCATGAATTAATTGAATTCAATAAAATCATACAATAAAATCATACAATAATTAAAAACAAAGCATTTGAATAAAATAAAATAGTGATATTTTCATATAGATAACACTAAAATCTTAAACAGAAAATCTTGAGACAGGTTAATAGCACTGAAGAACATGGGAAAACAAGGCTTTTTAAAACCTAGGACAAGGCATGTGTGTTTCAAGCTAATTTCAATACCTCCCCCTCTTCCTCCCCATCCTAAAGTTCCATTAAAATTGCAGGCAAAGACAATCTATCCTTCCACCAGAAGCCTGCTAGAAAGAGGGGTCAGAAATAAAAAGATGAACCCACCAATAATGGGCCCAAGAAATTATTTCTCAGAATATAGAAAGGGTTTCTCACCCCTTTTTAATAATAATAGTAATTTATTAAACTTACAACAATCAAAGAAATTACAATAAAAGGGGTAAAAGATGGCAAGAACAACAGACTGGATGGAATGAAGTGAGGGGTCCCACTGTCCATTGCCAAAGGTCTGGGCAAAGAACCACTTTTTCAGTGCCCTTTGAAATATCAGTAGGGTTGTGATAGAATGGTTTGGTGAAGGCCACACTCGGGGAGATAAGCATTTCCTTAGCCCCCAGAAGGAGCATGGGAAGGTTAAGAGGATGAGACTGG